CCCCAAAACCCCAAAACCCCACATACTGTAAAAGCGAAGATAAATAAAATTGAAATCTTAAACCTTATTCAAACAATTTATGTTAATTTACTCTGCAACTACTTCACATATAATTTTTCTGCTGCTAAGCCTGCTATTGGAGACTTTTAGATCCAGTGGTAAGTATGTAATTCAAGAATGTACTCCAAAAGATATATACGAAAAGAACATGCTTGGGATCATATCTTAAAGTTGCTTATGATTGATATCTAGATGACCTTTAAGAAGATAAAAATGAGGCTGCATAAGATGAGGCTGAATCTTCACTACCTGACATTCCTGATGATAAAATAGAATCTATTTTCAATCTAGGTATGCAATGGTTAGTTATTAAATATGCTGCTTTAGCATTAAGATCTTCATTTTTATGATTCAGTTTATCTTTATTTTTCTTGATTAGCTGTAGCCACTTTTTAGCTTTACCCATATTTTTATAGGCGTTTTTATCTGTGTCTTCAATTGTTCCTTAATTTAGTATTTAGCTGTCTTCTTAGAATCTTCCCATAATAAGCTTTTCCTTATCTTGCTAAGTAGTAGGAGAAATCTGAGTCATAGAAGGTGATGAAAATTCAAACTTGAAATGATCTTGGATGCTTAGATTATTCATGAACTTGACTTATTTGTACTACTTCTCAAAGTTGTACTCATCAAACTCTTCTTCATCTTCAACTTACTCTAAACCTTCCTCATTTAAATCTTCTGAAAATAGTTTTGAGGTTGCATTCAATAGAGTATTATATTCAGTTGACTGGAGAATATTGTTCTTAGAAAAATTTACTTGGTTGTAATTTAAGTGTGCTTAAACATTAAGTTTATTCAATTTGGGGTTTTACGGTTCAGCAGTATTTTAGTTGTTTTTGTGGAATGGATTTTTGTAGTCTTAATTGTTAAGCACGCTCTCACTATCATCTGTTACATTCCTATAGTCATCAAATGTGCACTCTTCGTGATCTATATTAGTCGTCAACATCTGGAACTGTTCAGTGTTTTGATACTGAAGATGCTATTCCTTTTTATGGCTGTTGAGAGATTCAAATTATTTCTACTATTAATAATCCTGTTCTTTTTAGTACTCAATTTAGAATTCCCTCATCATCTAATCAAATTTATCCTCATTAGCTTAAATTTAATCTTAATTTTAGTCTGACTTTGGGTTCAGTTACTTTCTTGAACTATGAAATTCCTTTATAAATTTCAAAGCCTAAGGACCATCTAAACCACTTTCTTCATCTGAGTCATATTTTAGGTTAAAGATTGAGTTGTTATCATATTCTTCATTTCCTTATGAATCATATTATCTATGACTAGATCTTGATATTTTTCTCATTTCTTTTCTGATATTTTGCATTTCATTAAGGATTTTCCTTTGGTGCTCTCTCACTTATTGTCTAAATGGCTTTTACTAACTTTCAATGCTAGTTTAGTAATCATTTATTCTATTAGAAGTTTTCTTATACTAGGAGGTGCTTCTATTTTATGACCCACTATTTAACAATTAATTCTATTAACTTCTCTATGAGTATTGCTATTTAATCTTGGTATTATCATTCCTGCTAATTGGGGACATTGCAGTGTCTTATGTGCTAAATTAAACCTAGGCAAAGTTTCTTAAAGATCTGATTGGCTAGTTTTAATTCTCCTTTGACCCTAATGCATTGGATTAAACTTATTATTTTTTATTGTTTGAGATTTTATTACTGCTTTATTGATGCTAATTACTTTTGCTGTTACTAGCACTAACTTGACTGTAATATTCTAAATTCTTTTTTGCATTGATTGGTGATTAGACATTTTATATTTGGTTAAAGTCTATGGCTATTTTGGGAACCATGATATTTTGAGATCTTTTTTTCAATACATTTTACTGAGTCTTAATATTATTAACTTGTGTGTAATAGATTGAGTCTCTAGCTGAATCTTGCTTTTGTTTCAATTTTGACGCTGTTAAATTATTATTATTGTTTTAAGAGTTGTAAAAATCTGTAGCACTATCACTTCCAATAATAGGTGTTATCGATCTTTTGTCCAAATCTATTCTGAATCTGTTATTTAATTTTCTGATTGGAGACTTGTCATTATTCAGAAATGTGCTGGTTTAGGATGCTGTAGTTGGAATCTAGGTATAGTTATGCTATTATTACTCAAACTGAGAATATTTTCTTGATCCTAATGAAAATTTCTCTTCAAGTGCAATCAACCCCTCATTTTTAAATTAATTTTATAAGGCATTGCTTGAAAATTTCTTGATCAGTGATCTTTGCATCTATTGAGTGCTAGTCTAATTAACAGGATGGACAATGCTTTATTTTTAGCTGGATTAATTCTTGCTTAAGCTTTAGTTGTTCGTTGGTGATTTTAAAGTTGCAGCAAAGTTACTCAAATTTTGAATGAGTTTGTTTGAGGAATCCATATAATTAAATGTGGAATTAGTGTTAGCAGTTGACATAGTCTTATCTTACTGGTAATAATGCATCTAAACTTAAGATTTTTAGTTGGATAGATTTCTATCTTTTGAAGGAGTTCGATTTTCTCTTGGAGATAGAAACATTGGCATTAGAGATTATTAGGATCTCAAAACAGTTGACCCCTAGTTAGGCATATTTTAAGCATAGGCTTTAGCCTGGCTTTTTATTGGGTTGAATTTCTATATATGTTTGATCTAGTTATTTCCTATAGGCTAAGCTTCTTTAGCAGAATTTGTAATTTTCTTCATTTAACGAATATCACAATTATTTTAATTTTATTTCAACTTATTAAAATATATACAGCTCTATGGGGTTTTGGGGTTTTGGGGTTTTGGGG